CTTAGAGACAAAGCTACTTTCAATTTAAGAAAAGATCAGAAAATACCTAAGTTGCTATGAAACTATTTCAAATCTTCAAATCAGCTGTCTTATGAAAAATAAATCATTATTTACTCGGACTTATTTGACAATATCAATGAATAATTTACTTAAAATCTGTAAGGAGGACAACTTTCTAGGCTTGAGTAAACTGTCAGTTAAAGTGGGAGGACTATCAGTACAGACAGCAATGTAAAAACAAAACGCACCTAACACTACAGGAAATTGTATCTATATATGAAAGTATAAGATTTCATTGCATCACCTACATTAGTACTTCCTCTTGTTTCGTTACTTGAATTTCCAAATGTTCTGAAACAGCAAATCAAAGATATCACAAAACAAAGCAAATTCTCTCTAACTGTAAAATCTTAAATAACGAAAAAACTTTCCAGACAGCTTAGTCCAGTTAGAAAAGCAACTGGAAACCGGATAAAGGCTCGGCTACAGTCAGACTATATGAGCAGAGCAGCCTTGTCTTATATGTATTTGTTTTAACGGAATTTTTTTTTCAATTTTAATGACCACAGAGTGTTTCGCATCCTCTGAATTGAATTTTCATTTCCCCCGGTTACAAGTAGATGAGAAAAGGATCATGTGCTCAGATTGCTTTCCTGCGACCAAAAGAAAAAGCATCTAAATATACTGTAAAGGAAAACAGTATCACGGTCAGTCAGATTTTTTTAATCACTTTATGGTTACAGACCAAAACTGTTAGGGGACATCTAGAAAACTTGTAATTAGGCCTGAACTAACATTCGGCAATCCTGCACTGAGCAGTTATATAGATATCAATATACATCTATATCTATCTGTCTCTCTATCTGTCTATATAAATATATAAACTATACATACATACATACATACATACATACACACATACACACACACACACATATATATATATATATATATGTATATATAATTGTATCTATGTGTATATATATAAATAAAAGAATAAAATAATAAACTTATTAGTTAATGCTGTTCCTTTTTCTTTTTAGTTTTTCTACAGATCCTTAAAATGTTGGTCATTGAACAAGTGACAAACATTAAATTAATTGTCCAAAAGTGTACAGTGCATCTCTGCTGCGCACGAGTGCCTTAAAGTTAGTGGTCATTGGATCAATCGCAAATATTCACATGAAAAACAATGTGGGTGTTAAAAATTGTCAGAACGATCGAACCATAAACGAACAACCCAAGTAGACAGCTACATTTTGATTAAAAAAGTCTCACCTTCCGGTCATTGCCACCTCTTTAGTAGGAAAAGAAACAAAACGAGGAAACATAAAAAGCAAAGCGAAGCAAAACAATTAAAATAGTCGGCATCGAGCAAAACTTATTGCTCAAAAGCAAAGTAAAGTCTATTTGGTGTACATCAAGTTGAGTCTTAAAGGGTACAACATCAAGCCAGGCCTTTTAACAATAACTAGCTAGCCAAAAAATAGATGACGGCAAAACACATTATTAGTTTATAATACACTACTCGGTCAAAAATAAAGAAATTGCTAGAGCGAAGATCATAATTCAGCAAGGAGTGAACTGAAGGTTGTGCTTAGTCTTGGGAAAAGGAAAAATATTAGGGATGTATTTCTAGGATGCCAAAACTAGCGTTCATTTGAGAGCATAACATATATGCAACACTTACCTTCAGTGCCTCTCGTATGGCGCGTATTTTTCCTGCAAGTCCACCAAACTAATATTCCGGCAACAGCCAGTGCAGCAACGGATCCAAACACTGCACAAACAACAACACCTATAGTACCTGGAAAGCGTGATAAGCTTCAGATAATTTTTTCAATGATCTTATCATAAAGGATCTGCCTCTGTAGTCTTGTTATGGTCAGGAAACCTTTGAAATTCAGCCACAACTCAATTTAGCTCCTTCCCACAATTTTTTGACTCAAAACTTAAAACTCGATTCAGTTGGACAGTAATCGTTTTTTATTTCTTATTTTCAGGAAACTAAAAGTCATAGGTGTCTAGAGGGTACAAAATCAGATTAAACTTCTCATTGCTAAACATTTCCAAAGTCTGGCATTTGTCATAAAAGGATGCTTTACCCGTTTTTGTCCCAGTTGGAAGCTCTGAAAATTCTACAAAAAAATACACCACTAATTTGAGGAAAACAAGCATGGCTGCTATATGTTTGGACTCATGTGGGCCACACATTATTCTTCCCTATTAATCATCTCAAAAAAAAAAAGAAAAATGTAAATCAACCACGTTCTAAAACTACTGAACAAAAGTTAATTTAGGTAAATAAAAAGCACGAGATATTGGGAAACATACTAACCGTTTCTTGCGTGTTTGCATTGAAATCAAAAGTAAACTTGACGAAGTGCACAACAAAAGTGCGCGCACACAATACAGACACTGTTCTATTAGCACTGAAATTGGGGCTGCTTGTGGTTGTCATTGTTGTCATTACCACAATACACTAGGTTCTCAGATCTCTGTTAAAACCTACTACAGTACCAATTTTGAGTTAAATACAATAACTTTCAAAACCTTTTTTTTCACACCACAAAAAATGTGCTCACAACCTAGTGCAGGGCAAGGAAATTCATGAATCAACTTGCAAAACTTTTGTGTGAAGTGTTTTGGGGACTTACCCCCATAGGACCTGTCAAGTGGGGACGTGACACCTTCACCTGTTGGTTCCATATCAGATCTTTTCCCTTTTATGGCACCAACGCTGAAATCTCCCAGCTTTCCATCTTTCACAGCGTCATTAAGTGTTATGATAACATCTTGTTCCTTTTTAGTGGAGTTGAATTTCAGTGCAAGGTCAACAATGATACTTCCACACCTTAGAACAGACATTAACTGAGGGTTAGAGTGACAAGATATGGAAAACAGAAAACAAAACGGCAAATAATAAAATGTTTAAATTAAAATATTTGGAAGCAAGATAAACTGACAATCATCTAAATCCCATTAACTCCCATACCTCACACTTATCAACTGCACTCCTTCATAGCCAGATTTATCAGCAAAAGCCTCATCAAGCTGCAAGTAAGCATTTCAATCAGGTGTCTTAAAATGTTAGTGACCATGTATCACACATAAGAACAAGTCAAATATTATGTATTAAATTGAACATGGTTGTTTTGCCGAGAATCAGCTGAGAATCAGTCCCTGAGTATTAATCAGTTGTTTCTTTAAGGCGCTTCTTCAGTGAATGATTGTTCTTCTTCTTGTCACTTGCTCCTTATTTTAATTTGGAAAAAAAGCACCAGGCCTCTCATTGCCCTAAATACAGACCACGAGCAAACACTATATAAGTTATAATAAACAGACAATAAGAAGAAGATTGTGGCAAGCTTTTCAAGTTCAAGATTTGACAGAACTCTGACAGACTGCGTGCAATCTAGGAATTCAAGAAACACTGTAGAATTAAATGAAATATTCTCCACACATTCTCCACCAGCCAAATTTCCTTTTAATTATTATACAGCTAGCACATCAGTCTTTGACCTTGAAGTAAACAATACTCAGTGACAACTATAATTAACAATTTAACAGATCAAGTGAAGTTCAACACAGGCACACAGTTTATTTGTGAGAAAAAAATCCCTCCAATGTAAATCAACTGGTATATGTCTAACTGATAGCTGTGACAGCAATATCTAAGTATATGACATTAAGTTACCAGTTCTTTAAATTTCTCCAGTAATAAGGATTGGTTGTATTTTCCATCTATACATATTTCACTTGTGACGACAATAGTTATGTTAATCACATTTCCTCCAATGTCTGTGAAGTAGAAGAAAAATCATTACTACAAGATTCACTCAATCTTTTTATTGCTACAGGTAATCTGTTTGAAGACCAGGGTTCTGTAAAACTTTAGGACTGTTCTAAGGTTACATGTAGTTAACCTCAGAGATGATTGAGATGTCTGTTGCTTTCAGTAAGTGGCTTGTAACAAGAACAACTGAGGTTTCTGCCATAGCCTACATGATCCTGGGCACTAGTCAACTTCTCATCATATTTCTCATTGGTGGGTTGTGTTGATTACTTGTCAAATGAATGCATGGCATTGAGGAAAATATAGAGAGGCAGCAAGGTGTCATTTGGCTTCTCTTGCTTTAATGAAAACATTATAAAATTGATGTACACTGTAAACTACGTAGGTCTTAAGTACTTCAGCTTACAATGACTAAAAGATGAAAGAACTAAATCCATCTTCCGAAAAAAAGCCAATCCCATACAATTACAATTTTTCCTGTACCTTGTCAGAAGCCCTGACTACAGCTTTTCCCCCAACTTTTGATACTCATCTCTGTGTACGCCATCTGAAGCTTAAATTACTGCACTGCTTTCTTTGCATTTTAAATGTAATAAAATAATCAATGTATTACATGTACATTGTAATTATTTAAAGAAAAGAGAGAGTTATCCACCAAGACAAAGTAAAAGCAATGTTTGGGCTTTTACAACCAGAGAGGCTACCTGACCCCTGACTCAACTCTGAAAACCCAATCAAAATGTCATGTTCAACTTGGTACATGTATGAAGATACTACATAACTGTATAGTGAGTGTATGCAAGACTACATGTATAATGGAACTTACAAACACTGGCTGTTCTTTCATCATTTCCAAGTAAATTGGCCACTTTGCAGGTATGGTTGGCATTATTAAGAACTTGTGAAATATGAAGAGTATTCTTGTCACAACCTTGCTCTGAGTCACAGGGTATCCAAGTGTAAGTTGGTGGAGGGTTTCCTTCTGCTTAACAGTTAAGAGTTACACTTTGTTGTACATCCACAAAATATTCAGTCTTAAATTTAACAATCTTGGGTGGATCTGTGCATCAATTTAGAAAATAAAAATCATATCAAAAAAACAGTATCAACACAAATGTGCACCAAGTAATATGTCACCAATAGCTAAAAAGTACCTCCAAGAGATAATTGTTCATCTAGCCTGTTGGTCTGTAGCTTAATTGATTTACATGTGTTTGCATAAAGTTCTTCCACAACATATATGTGCATGTGGTGCCAATGAAATTGTTACTATTTGAACATCAATTATGCGATCCTCTTGCACATAATGGAACTTACAAACACTGGCTGTTCTTTCATCATTTCCAAGTAAATTGGCCACTTTGCAGGTATGGTTGGCATTATTAAGAACTTGTGAAATATGAAGAGTATTCTTGTCACCACCTTGCTCTGAGCCACAGGGTATCCAAGTGTAAGTAGGTGGAGGGTTTCCTTCTGCTTGACAGTTAAGAGTTACACTTTGTTGTACATCCACAAAATATTCAGTCTTAAATTTAACAATCTTGGGTGGATCTGTACATCAATTTAGAAAATAAAAATCATTTTAAAAAAACGTATCAACACAAATGTGCACCAAGTAATATGTCACCAGTGGAAAGTGCCTATCTGTGTACGTAGCACCATAGTTAAAATTTTTTCAATGCATACTCACAAGTGACATCCACATGAACTGTTTGGCTATCTGCTTCACCAAAACCATTATATGCTGTACAGTTGAAAGTTCCTGAATCATTCCTGCTAACTTTTGTTATAGTCAGCACCTTTCCTACTTGAAGCACACTATTTCCATGATTCCCTGCCTTCTCTTTCGTCCAGGTGATGTTTGGTTCTGGTTTACCGGATGCTTTGCATGTTAACTTCAAGTTGCCACCTTCAAGAACAGATTGTTCACCTCTAATTTGGTGGATTTTTGCTGGAACTAACAGCAGACAAATAATCACAAGCAAACTTTAGGAGCTAATTGAAAAGTACACTTGAGTAACAACTTTTAATGTCATTAAAACACTTTTCCACATCCCTTCCATGTGCAAATGAAATTCACAGTGACATGGGCAGTACATGTACACTGTAACTGAGCACATTATGTAAAGACTGTCTTTAGATGTTACCAGTATGAGCATGTAAGAGCAAAAAGATGTTTTAAGTTTTTTTGGTTTTGTAGTTTTTTTGTTTTATTCAATATTTAAAAAAAAGGCAGGTATAAGAAATATTGTATGAGCAAACATGCATGAAAAGTTAGTCTCATCCCTTTTGTTGCTCAGTCTAAATTGACCAGCTGAGTATGAGGCAAAAGAGGAACAATGAAAAGGAAAAACATTCTCTGAATCTACAAGTGTTAGTCTTCTTGATGGGATCTAATTGCTAAGCTGAGCTTTAAACTTTTTGTATCCTTAAGCCAACCTGAGTTCAAGATGAGAGTTCACATGCCTGGTTTTATATAAAGAAAAAAAGGCATCTTTCAGCTGGTTGCTGTGGTGAGAGGTTCACACAAATGTGTTTGTAAATACATTAGAACATAAATATTCCCTTGTTTCATCCCTGGGACAGATGGCTTTGACCATTTTAAATAAACCCACAATTTACTGTCAGAAATAGAAGACAACAACTTTGTTTGACATGGTTTTAAATTTTCAGATAAGAAACAAATTAATGCAATAAATTCACTCACTCTGAAAAATGTAAAAAGTCACACCTACTGACACCATATATATAGTGTACAGTATGCAGCTGTATATGTAAAATAAAGAAATCACTGAAATCAACTAAAGCAGGAAGTCAGAGTCTCATGACACATTATCTTCATGAAAACCTCTGAATTCCTGAATCCTCAATATACTTAATTAATACCTATCCCTACTTGACCTGCTAAAGTTTTCAAAACAAAGAACCTTCTGGTCAGAAAACAAGGTTTTAAACCCAAATCACTTAACAGGGAAGTCCACACTTGCAAAACTCCTTAGCTTTGTTAGATTTTTGTGACTTTCAAATCAAATTGCACCATGTCTCATTTTTGTTGCATGATCCTGATGACATACTTTCTTTCACTACCCAGACAAGGGATGTCAATTTTCTTTACTCAAGAGGAAGCCTAGAGCATGTGACCTCTACTACTTTTTCCATCTCTTGCTAATGCACAGCATGGTTGCCAAGATTTCCTCAACACTGCAGGGAAGGTGTTGTGGCTACAGATGGTGCAAAATGTTTACAGTCTCATGCTCTGATTGGTTTTGAGTGAAAAATAGCTTGAGAAATATGGTGATTATGACCATCTATTTTGCATGCATATGATAGAGAAGGTATGGGATAGCAACTTTCAGTTTTTTTAGTTTTTTGAAAATAAAGTTGTCAAAATTTGATTTAATTTGGCAGAATGTGCTGAAACCTTTATTACCTTCATCTTTGTGCATGAGCCAAACCAGTGGTATGAAATTGACTTTCTTTAGCGAAGTTTCTCTCCAAAATGGCCTTTTGAACACACTCCTTAATTCCATCAAATTCCACAAATTCCAAGGCACTACAGGCAAAATGAAAGGTTTTAAACTATGTACAAATCCTCTGCATTTGAAAGGACTGAATATGAAAGGTGACCATAGGTACGACTGCATTACAAACAATGTTTTTTGACTAATTACTCAAACATATTTCAATTCTGTTGATCTGATTGTTTTCTGCATAGTCATGGTCTTCATGGTGTTGTTGGAAATGAAAACCACTTCAGTGAGAAGATGTCTTAACTTTATTGCCAACTTACATTCTGTAAGTCTGATATTATAAATCACTGTTTCTTTGAGCAACATAACTAAAACTTTTGGGTGACATGACATTGCACCAAATGAATTTTGGGCATCTTGACCATTTACTGTGTATCTAATGAGCGCTTTCCACCCAAACTTAATAGACAGACATTGCATTGGTGAGTCCATATTGTTATGTTTAGACACTTTTTGAAGAGCAGATAACAGACATTTGTGATATATGGAGCCTACTCCAACTGGTCATCTGAAAAATCAAGAGTGCCTCAGGGTCTAACCCTGGACCCATCTTGTTCTTCACCTATCTAAATGAAACACCGAACATTGTTACATCTTCAATTAATTTGTTCACAGATGAAACAGCATTTATTGTGAACTAAGCTATGACAACACATCAGTGCTGCAGTCGGACCTGAGCTCTTTAAATAACTGGACAAGGGGTTAGCAAGTTAAATTTAACCGCCAAAAATGCCAAGTCATGAGAATCACCCACAAGAAGAAATAAAAGTAAACAACAGTACCATCACTACAAAATGTAAAGTTAAAATCTGTCAACTTCAAGTAGGAACTATGTGTCATTGTGTAGAGATATTTATCGTGGTCGATTCACTTGGATGTGTCAGTGAACAAGGATTACAAATTCTGAGCCTACTGAAGCTGTTGCAGTTAGCAGCAGAAACAGAGAAATCTTCTCAGAGCTTATCATAAAATCACTTGTAAGACCTGTTGTAGAATATGCATGTCCAGTACAGTCACCCTTCTGGATTAAAGAAAAACTACATGTAGCAATAGAAAACATACAATGAAGAGCATCAAAAATAGCTCTTGGTCAAAACCCACACACAATGTCATATAAAGAGAGAACCAAATTATTGGGTTGGAGCACACTTGAGTGCTGAAGAGAGTATTCCCTTTAGAAGAATGTTATAAGTCAGTCAAGTTAAATTGCCTTGCCTCTCATGACTATTTCAAGTACAAAATTGCCTTGCCTCTCATGACTATTTCAAGTACAGTTAACACGTGTCATAACACATTCTGCAGCATACACCTTTATTGATATCTGATGGGCTATACCAGCAACTAAACTACTCACTACATCTAGTTACTAGGTCAGCTTTTATAAGTACAGTTGAGGATCTAGAACGTTCCATAACATTACAACAGAGTCTATTTATATATTGATTTGGGGATGACTCAGCATGACACACCTACTTCTAGAACATTCACGAAGGTCACACTAAAGGTGCGACTTCAGTCACACACCAAGATAACATGTGTGTTAAAGTTATTCCTTCTCTCCTGAGAAAGAATTCAGTATTTGGTAAAGAAGTAGTTGTGTTTCAGGTCCTTATCACGTTTAGCAAGGATTTATATACTGCAATACATGATAAATTACATGTGACTTGTATTTCTGAGTTCCAAGTGGTGAGATATTATTATACAAAAACGTTTGTTTCATTCATTGAATCCCCAATTTTCAAGCTTTACGAAGAACGTCTATGCTACACTGAGCCATTCCACCCTCCGAGTAAAGTATGTTGTTATTCACCCCGGGTTAAATTTACCTGGAGTAAAGTTTACCATGAGGAAGGATTTCTTTACTGCAATACATGATAGATTACATGTGACTTGTATTTCTGAGTTCTAAATGGTGAGATATCATTATACAAAAACATTTGTTTCTTTCATTGAATCCCCAATTTTCAAGCTTTTCAAAGAACTCCAATGCTACACTTAACCAAAGTTTGAGTTTCCGTTCTCGCTGCCAAGTCGTCTCTACAGAGTTATTTCCCCCAGTTGCTATTGTGCCGTCCGCGAAGATTCAGTTTTCCAGTTAGCGAGCGAAAACCTATAGTCACATACGAAATTTGTCTGACATGTTTCTGACGCTGCGAGATTTTGATTTCAAGGAAGACAAGGTAGGATCGGACCATGAAGACATTTGTAGAAAACTTACGATAATGGCTAGATTTCATTTGTACATTAATTTACAGAAATCGGTTCCAACCATCAATCAAGATTTCTTTTTAGTTTTAAAGTTGAACTGATGTTGTTATTGGCTATATTGAAGAGGTTAAAAAGGTTTTGGATGATTTTCTCTCATGTTTGCAAATAATTGAATTAACTGGAAGGCGGAGTTGTTGCAATATGTTGACATTAAACACAACGATAAAATTTATTGATATGTTTGTGTCATTTATTTTCTAATTCCTCCTGTGGCCAATGTTTTGATGAGGTTCGGCTGTCAGAGCAAAGGAACTGAGGATTTCAGGAGGCTAGCAGATTTAGGGAAATATAAGGTTTTTTTGGGATTAATATCACTAAATTCTTGAAGCAGTATTCGCAATAATATGTCCCGTGTTCTGTCGTGTTCCTCAGAAACTTCATGCGGAGACTCACGAGGGGAGTTTCCGGTTTGTTTAACTTGCCTGAGTGTACTGACTCAGTAGAGAGTTATCTCTCCTTAATCCATTTGTCAAAAGAGAGTGTCATAGAAGGAAAGCTTATCTTAGCAAGGGCTGGCCTGTTCGATGTAGAAGACTCAGTTATGGCAAGTCTGCGCAAAGCATACATTAGGCACACTTATGGGAAGTTCTGGCGCCAAAGATCAGAGTGCCAGTATCCGACACACCCTGATAGCGATTCCAAGGGGGCGAAGAGCTGGTATTCTGTCAATTTGTCAAAGGCCATTTCTAAGATGTGTGGCGAGCTCCTTCAAGTAGGTTCAGGTAGGAACAAGTAATTTAAAATAAGTGGCTGATTTCAACCAATCTCTACCGTTTTGTCCCCAATTGCCCGTTTTTTTGGTATTTATCTTTTCTTCCATTTCAAGAGATTATAGTCTAATGAATAATTACAAGTAAGATAAGAAGATGGAGAGGGGCATAATATAGCAAGGTAATTAGATACCCTTTACCTTAAATTACATTTTTTTATACAGTAAAAGGAAGCGATACAATGAGATAGAAGATATAAGATACAAATATAAGAGAGGGAATAGGAATCACACCTTAAACAACAAATATTTAAATAAAACATGGTCAGAGGAAGACATTAATCAGTACTGGGAAAGGTAATGTGAGAAAAGTGCTCTTTTAAAAAGTTTTTTAGTGGGCTTCTCCCGTATAGATATAGGAATATCATTCCAATAGTAGCACCCTATAACTGTCGAAAAGAAGTTCCTTATATTTATACTGAAGGGGCTAGGGTTCTGGTGTTGCAAAGATGTACTTCTAGTGGCATAATCATGGATCTCAGATACAAAAGAAAGTGCAAACTTAGAATATTTTTTGTCTACAATATGATCGTAGAATAGTTGACACGTACTCAATTTAATTATGTCAAGAAGCTTAATTAGGCTAAGGCCTACATAATGGGAAGTAACATGGTCACGAATTGGTACATTTTTGATGATTCTTATAGCTTTGTTTTGTAGCTTTACCAACTGAGACAATGGAGCTTCCTAATTATTACCCCACAATATGCAGCCGTATGTTAAATAGGGATGTACAATATAATATTAAAGTTCACACGGCAACCAGGTGGACAATCAGACATAGTTTGATGCTACTCTGGTTTGCAGATTTAATGAATGTAACCGAAGAAGTTACAATTCATAGACCCAACGTTTCGACACTCCTGTCTAGTGCCTTCATCAGGGGTGATCTAAACGCTGCAACAAGAGGTCCTGATGTTATATGATCACTAATTAGCGGCCTTTTTTCTGACGAGGTGTAAATAGGCGTCAGGAAGCAAACCGCCATCGTCACGATTTAAAGGAGCGTGGGCGGAGTTAATATGCCAAGCCTCCAAACAAAGGCGCTGGTGGTAACGCCGATTAGTGGTGATAATTTTAGAATTAACCCACCCAATTGTATGGTTGGTTAGGCATGTATGCTCTGATAAAGCTGAATTTTCCTTTTTGCGAAGAAAAACCGCTTTTTGGTACTCTTTTAACCGTGTCCAAACTGACGTTTGGTCTGTCCGATGTATTCGTTGTCACAGTCATTGCAAGGAATAGAATGAATGGCGTCGGTTCTTGTTCTTTCGTGACAGGATCCTTAGGTTTGAAAACTAACTTGGTTACCCAGTGATCACACCCATCTTAAAAGACAGTATGGCACGCAAAAAGCGCCTACGATTTCCTAAAGTAAGAAGACCTAACTTACATCGCATTTCTTGTGAGCAAGTTTTCCTATTGGTATTCAAAATTGAACGCATGGCCTGATTTTGCAATCGTTCAATCTTTAAAGATACTGTTTTAGAACAGTCTAACCACGTCATTGACCCATAATCCATGATGGGCAAAATGGTGTGCTTATAAATTAACAATAAAATATCCTGCGATAAAAAGCTAGAAATTCTATTTAGCATTTTTAGCTTTGGATATACTCTCTGGCAGATATATTTCATGTGATAATCCCAAGATAGATTTCTATCTACATATACACCTAAATATTTATAGGAGTCTACTTCATTCAATCTTGGATCTTGTAGATAAATGTCAAAGTTAGTGTCAATTGCAGCTCTAAGGGCAGGTCGTGATCCTTATAGCATGAAATTGGATTTTTCGGGATGGGCCACCGTCTCATTTTCCTTGAGCCACATATCGACCTGCGCAAGATCTTGGTTTACACATACTACCGCTGAAGTAACATCCTTATCTGCAGAATGGATCTCTGTTTCGTCAGCGAAAAGTGTACAACTTGAATGTTCTACAGTAGATAGCACACCATTTAGGTAGACAGAGAATAGAGTCGGTCCCAGAACCAATCCTTGAGGTACCCCACGACGTATATCTAGCAGATCAGATACCCTACCGTTGCACGAAACATCGAACGTTGCAGAATTATGACCAATTTTAAAAAACAGTTATTTGATTTTCATGAAGACTTGACTTTAGTTACAAAAGTCGGGAAGTCACCAAGTGCTTCCTCTATGGTTATACCTTCGACAGGAATGTTTCCCTGGTACAATGTCCTTACTCCATTTATGGTCTTGATGGTCATACCATTGACAAGGTAGGCACTGTAACCTATGTTGCCTTTTGGGAGAATGTAAGTGGAGAATTCATGTTTCCCATTTTTGCTTACAGCAGACAGTTGGCACATCTCAGCTAGCTTCCCTGTGCAAGTAGTTTCTGTGTCAAATATAACGAATTGATATTTCTGTTTTTAATCATATCGTAAGTGCACAACCTTTGACCTTGTAGTGTAGGGTGGTGTTATTTCTTCATATCCTTTTAGCTCAGTTAGTGATATTTCTGCAGGCATTTCAATACATTTTGTGACACTGCTTGATGATTTGTTGGATCCAAATTTAGAACGGCTGAAGACTCATACGTGACCCCTTCACTGACTTCCCTCCTGAGTGTTTGCGAGGTATTTTGTTTAGATAACTGGTTACGCCTTCTATTGAATTTCTTTTTTTCTTTTCGTTGTTTGTCATAAAAAACCTTCTTGTCCATTGCTTTCGCATGTCTTTCATAGAGAGAACCAGGCTCAATATTAAGAATCTTTAATGTTTTTCCAGTGAAGTCCGGTGTATCCAATATTGGTTTGTGCCAGTCCACATGCTACTCGAAAATCATTACTTTCACTGCCATAAAAACGAGTTTTGGGGTTCTTAGAAACCAATGGTGCTATTAAAACTTTCATTTCTCTGTGAATTAGCACATGGGGTCAGTTTATTCACAACACTGTCAGTAGAATATTCGTCCAGAATGTCACTTAAGGCTTTTTTTAGGGAATCTCCATAGAGATCTTTGCCATCTGGCAAGTCTGTATGTTTGTAGGCAACAGGATTTTGCTTGAAACCACATCATGAAACATTACAACAAGTATGCTCCCCAAAGGCATGGGGAATAATGTTTTTGAGACCTTGCTTTAAAGATTCATTCTCCCACATTTTGGCTGACAAAAAAACTGAAGCACTTGGTGATGTAATTTTTACCTTTGGACTGAGAATTGAGCAATTTGATCCTTTGAAGAGGTCTCTAAGATTGTATAGTCTAGTATTAAGGGATCTCTTGGCATGAACAACATCGGACCATTTCTCAACACAATAAGGGACTTCGGTCTTTTTCGTCTGCAAGGGTTGTTGAGTGATCATCCCCTACATTAATTGAGAATTTGACTCCAGATTGAGCAGCTTTTCTCCACAGTTCACAGGCAACATCCCTGTCCATTGATTTTGATGATCCATTGTGATTTTTTCGACAATCATGCTTTTTTTTTCTTTCCCATTTAATTTGTTATGGCTACATACTCGGCACATCTTGCGGAGTAACTCACAACTTTCCCAGTGGCAAGACCCATGGCAGCCCCATGACCAGTGGCAGAAACGTGTCCCCTTCCCCTTTTTTGCCAGCCCATATCATAAGAGACAGCTACTCCTGGGAGACGGTCTGCAGATAGATCAGAAGATTTCTCAGCAATTTTTTTTTCTAAATTTAAATTAAATTTACAGCTATCTGTAGCAACCTTCTCTAGAGCATTTCCAACTTCTCTTTCTCTTATTTAAAACAGATTATGATTCATTGTTGGTACATTCATTGTAACGAGTAAATTATTTAGGTGGGTATTCCCCATGCCAGCATGTAGGAATCCCAATACTAATACTAATGTTGATATCGCTAACAAGAGGACCACGGCTTCCAGCTCTGTGTTCAGCAGAGGATCTTACTTCATTTAGGTGATGACAGAAGCTGCATTTAATGCTACAGATAGCACTGAGACCACTTTGTTTTTCTTCCATAATGTTTACAAGAGATAATGGACCTGTTGGTGCAATAAATGGCCTAGTGATTAGAGTCATTTATTGATGCATAGAAGCAAATAGTTAGAGGAAAGCAAACACATTTTTTTTTAAGAAAGTGGAAGTTCAAGATGACAGGAGGTAAGATATTGTACTCTGAAATTTGACCAGCAAGAGTAGTCATGTTTGAGCCTGTCTAAATGCCTATATTCAATCGCTAAAAAAAGTTTCCTGCACTGTGTTAAACAATACTTGTAATATTTTAAAATGTTTTATTTTATCCAAAAATTATTTTACCCACCTTATGGTTGGGAACTTATTGTCACTTACACAACAATACCAGAGACAAACATTTTAATATACTCATATGAGATTTATAAAAAGATCTATTATTTTTACCGACTTATTTTGTTTTGTGTGTGTCTTTTTTTTTTCTTTTTGAGAAAAATATTTCCTAAGGCTCCTACAGGAACTTTCCTCTTTTGCAGCTTGAGCAAGATTACAACTCATTTCGAAGAACTGGAAGTTCAATCAGTCTTGTACCACAAATATCAATCTCATATTTAGTGTGCTGTAATGATAAAATTTTTGCTTAGCTATTTGATTTCGGGTATTTGATTATCAAGAATCAAAAGAAGAAAAGGAAGGAAGAAAACGTAACAAATCTCAGTCGAACCAGCCGAAATGCAACAGCGATGTAACACACATAACTTACCTGTTGTGACCTTGTTTTTTATTTTCCTTGGAGGTTCACAGTCTTTTTCTCCTTCAGGCATATTTTCTTTCACATGAGCTCTCTCTTTTTTTGCTGTCGCGAGATTTCGTATTGATTGGATTTTTCGTTTCGATGCCAAGCAACCTTTATGTCGCCAAGAATCGTCTTCTTTATTTTCGTTTCTGTCTCCTGCATAGGCAGTGGCCATTGAATACATCAAATACACGCTGGTGGGCAAACTTCTCACAAAATAAGACAAAAGTTTCGTAGACTGAAAATTCCGGGCAACGGAAACGACGACTGCTCGCTCGCTTTGAGCTTTTCGATCATGGCAAGTAGTTTAGCACAGACACCCGCTGGGGACACGAGGCTTTTCAGTGACTATTCGTTCATGCAGAATAAAGCTTCTCTATCAACTAACTCGTCTCTTGGTGTTCAAGAAAAAGTAAAAACCCAACAGAAAAAGAAACAAAACAAGCAAAGAAGATAAGAACTTGAAAAGAAAGTATTCATAACCATCATGGTGATTGTCATTTGGCGCCAAAATTGTAAGTTCTAAAACATGGAACGACCTAAAACCACCTAAAACCACCTAAAACCACCTACAACCACCTACAACCATCTACAACCACCTCAAAAATTTCAACAACCACCTCAAAAACATCTACAGCCACTCGCAAACTATCTAAAACCATCTGAAACAAGGCATAAATGTCTAAAATAAGGCGAGACGACAACATGTCACGTACATGAAATACAAGAATCGAATCAAACCTCGACCTTCCCCTGAAATCTTACTCTCCCTGGTCCCATGTATAATCAACCATCTCACGAAATGAATTGCGAGAGCATGCTAATCATATTTTTTATTACCTCAGTAGTAAAAGACCCTAAAGAACTTAACTAGCAGACGTTTTGGCCCACGCTTCATTTGATTACGTAATGGTCCAAGGTAGTATTTTCTCCATTTATAATCTCAGCAATGGAAATGTAATTGGAGCAAAACGTGAGTCACTATTGCGTAAGTGGCACCACTCGTACAACTACATGCTGTATGAATACCAACACGATGGCTTTTGTGTCAAAGGAAGATTCCAAATATACGCACAGCTCGCTTGAAATATTTCCAATACTCCTTCTTACTCGTACTTTTTCGAGACGTGAGCCAAAACCTCTGCTAGTACCCAAGGTACAAAAAGCCAAGTCAAGTCTGTCTTGACTACGAGTTTGTTATTTTACTTTATTACTTTTGATAACTTGATAATTCATTTTGTAAAGTGAATTCGCATCTTTAAACAAGTGAAAAGTTATCTGGAGTACATCTACATCAAACGTCCTTACTGGTAACAGTTTGGAGTTGCCTTGGCCGGTGAAAACTCCATAAAACGTGACTAGAACATCGGCTTGCCAAAGAAGACGTCGGCAAATCCTTGAAATCCCTCTTTCTTCATCCACTGCCTCACATCATCACAAGAAAAAAATAACTGAATTCATATTCCTAAAGTGTTTTCTGTCCGTAAAAATACCCAGATCGCGGAGCAAATTGACTTCCCTGAAATTTATAGTGTCCGTTTGAACTGTCCGACAACGATGTGAGTTCTCTAAACGAACACCCGTCACTTTCAACTCTTCCTCGCTATTCTCTGATTGGACGAGAAGACTGCGGGTAATAAGAAACTTGTCGTGATAATCTTTTAAGCGTATCGCGTGACACTTTATTTTCTAATTTAGTAATTAAGCAAAGTGTAACTGTCAAGGTTAGATATTAGTGACGTTTCCGTCAGATCGTGTTTCAGAACCTCATGCGCCTTTACTAGTAGTCTGTGTGCATGGTCTTTGTTTTTGCGTTTGCGAAGTTTATTGCGTTTATTGCGAAGTTTTTGGATCCTGCGTCTATAAATACTCAGGCGTACAGAGGAGACAATTGGTAAGCATGTGTTTTTTACCTTTCTTAGTTTTATTTCGTCAGTTTTATTTCTAGTTCACTGTTTTGCCGTTTTGTGTGTTCGTGTTTTTTATCACATCCAATTAATGTTCGGCTTTGTCCTTTCGCGTCGCACGAGCTAGACATTTTTATTTGTATTTTAGTTTGACAGTTTTGAGCATTGGCATATTGTAATAAAGATAAATCATTGGAAATCAACACGAAATAGCTTGGGATTTTAGTAAATCACGAATAAGTAATGTCAATCTTGGATTTACGTAGTTAAGCCGTGTATTTCCGTTGTAACAGCAGATAAATAGAATCACTATCTTATAACAGAAGACTGGAGAACGATTGAATGTAGTAGTTTCGGATACTGTATGGATCGTAAATAAACGCAAGAAATCGGAAAGATACAGTCCTCTTGATTGTCGAACCAGCGCTCCGCAAAGATTTTTCTTAACGCAGTGGAGAATTCTACAACAAAACTCCGAAAAACGCCAAGAATTTGTTAATGATATTATGATGTGATGTTAAAAAATAAAAAAGATTTTTATTATCGTATATTTACCCGTTAAAGTGCCGCGGCGTTTGTTAAATTTTTCGACTGGCCGATGCGGCGCTTAGTTAGTTAAAACTCGTTTGCCTTAGCGTTGATAGGTTCGTGATCGCGATAATCATCCCCACACTCAACACACTCCATCCTGTACTTTTTATGTCTACAATAATATAAATATTTGGGCGTAACTCGTACCAATACACGTTTTCATTGGTACAGTTTCTTGCTACAAAATTCAGCATCGATCAATGAACGCTTTTTTGTCAACTTATACCTCAAGTATTTTAGCTTGATTTTAGTCTGAGGACAACTTCACGGCATACTTTTAAACATCGTGTCTTCGGAATCGCCTCTCTGGAGAAAATTCACACCTTTCCGGATTCTCCTTTTGGCAGGCGACGGTCGATTTTCACCAACTGACAACAACAGATTCACATAACTGAGATGTTTTCACTATAAAAGGATATGAAAGAGATGTCAAGAATATTTTTGTGATTTCTCAGCCTATACGCCGTTATTCTACTTCAGATCTGTTTGAAAAAGAAAACCCAGCGTTTAAGACATTTCACACTTGTTTGGTGTTATTGAACACCGAAGTGTAGACACTTACACCATTTAGTGTGACTTTAAAAACCGGTGGTGTTGAGCCCTTGCAGGGGATTTCTTTACATAGCGAAAGTGTAAAAAAACGCCAGCAAGGTATTGTACAGTACTTCGCTTACACCTAGGTGGTTGTACTTAACAGTAACTTGGTGTAATTTTCTAATTACACCTGGTCGGTGTCGTGTCTACACCAATATGGTCTATAATTACACTTCCCTTGGTGTCACCGTAACATCCTCACTTTTTCTGCGGATCTTGCACCGACGATCACATGACCTTCATGAAGTGATATTGTAAGGAGGAATTAGATGCTCGTCACTCTTAGGGGTATAGCATTAAGGCAACTTTAGCTCGTTCATGTACAACCTTGTTAATTTTGAACTTGTGGTACCTGAAGCTTATAGACAAGTTTAAGTGGACTCTGAAATGCAAATGGTCACTCACCCAAGTGTAGACTCTTGCCCAAGGGTGACGCGTTAGGGTGATGCCATCATCATGGAAAAATAACTATGCGAAAATGACAGCCAGGCTTGTTACAGTTTATGCTTATAAAAATATTTTGTGAATGAAAAAATATTTAGGTAAAGCACAAATGTAGCATTGTGAATTACTTCAATTATTTATGATGTAATGCTAAACAAGAACCATGGGAAAAATGCAAGTTTATTGGCTGACTGATTACATTCAATTCTTTTGTGTAAACATTGGCACCTGGATCAATAAGTAGTACCTAAGTATATAGTAATGTGACTTAAATTGTAAGTGTAGTAATGTACTTCGTCTGCAAAAAGAGGGGATGCCGCTGATATGTTGGTCTTGCCTTATTATTCTTATAACTTGGTTGGGTCAATCAGGGCGAGGGCTTTGTAAAACCGACCAGTTCGCCAGTATCACAAAAATAAAAACCTTTAAAACTACCTCGTCCACGTAGCCTTTCTTTTATATCAGACAGCATGACGTGTTCGATGACAACTTCCTCTGAGGACCAACTGTTCAAACTTAAACTTGTCCTTGCGGTGCTATAAAGAAAAATACTATTGAGATTGTAAGTTCCGCGTATTCCAATCGAATAAAATAAAACGATATGTTTAGTAGAAAATTATCCGTATATAAATAATTCTTTCACTATCGATACCATGTCGCTCGTGCACTGGAAGACTTCCTCATTCGTGAAAGTGATGATAAAAGCTCATGAATTTTAACCATTCCACGCCCCAAACACGTGAGGGGAGTCCAATATTTGATTTAATATTAAACGTGTGGCGTAAAAATGAAAGTATATAGGTGCACTGGTATTAAGGTCAAACTTAGGATATAAACTTTACTTCCTCTTTCAAATTCGTAAAACACCGTTTATCTTTATTTAAAAGAACAGGGTTTTTATCCACACTAACTTAATAATTAGAGAAGCTATATGCCACAGACAAGCTGCTTCTTTTCGAATATGCTTAATGAGGGGAGAGACACGGTATAGGGAAGAGAGAGAAACGGCCAAAAAAAAAATGATAGGGAGGAGGGAAAAAGGAAGGGTAAAAATAGGGAGACGAAGGAACCAGCATGAAGAGGGAGAAAGTAGAACGTCAGAAGTGTTTTTTTAGACTTAAAAAGCCTTCCGGTGAGCAAATAAAACAGTGAAAATTGTGTGGTAAGTTTGTCCGCTATTAGTTCGTGGCCTCACCTGTAGATGTAGATCTTATGTCCGCCAATTACAATTACAATTCACTCAAACTTATAGAGCGCAACTTTCCATGGTACATGATCAAATGTGCCTTACAATAAGTTAAAAAGACCAAAAATGAATAAAATTTACAAGCAGATAAAAAGATTTAAAGTGAAATAAAGTAATAATAAATGATAGATAATAAAATAAAGGAAGTAAGACCTCTATTACAAATTAAAAGCTTGTTTAAAAAGATATATTTGCACATGGCAATTAAAATTTGGCAGAGAGTCAAGACTGGATATCTCGCTGAGCATAATGTTCCAGAGCTTTGGGGCCGCATAACAAAATGCTCTACCACCAGGTGTTGGGAGTATCTTGCCTCTTGGAACCTCAGGCATGACTTTTTTGCTGGATCTGAGGGAATATCCTGATGATTTTCTTTGGGCTGATTAATTTGCA